CACACACACACACACACACACACACACACACATTTCTTCTTATTCTATATCTTCATCTCCCCTCTTCCTCTTCCACCTTCTTCTTCTACTCCTCCTCCTCTTACTCCTTTTCTTACTCTTCCTCCTCCCCCTCCTTCTCTTCCTTCTCTTCTTACTTCACCTTCTCCTTTTTATCGGTCCAGAAGATCCCGTACTGACATGTGGCATTCATGTGGCCCTTGACCTCGCTCGGCGTGTTGAGGGCGTGATGGAGTCGTGGGTGCAAGCAAGAGATATGGGAAGGATAGTAGGTACGGAAAGGGGATAGATCAGAGGTGGGGAGGGAGGTCGAGAAAGGGAGAGGGATTGGGTGGCCGAAAGTATGAACCGGTAAGTGATAGTGTAAGAGGGAGAGGGTGTGTCTACCGTTGTTTCGGTATATACGCTCTGTATGTTTATCTATAATAGTTCAGCATGGAAAAGAATACGAAACAGCGATGGCTCTATTTCTCTTTTCTATTATTAATGTCATTATTATTATTGTTGTTATTATTGTTATTATTATTATTGTCATTATTATTAGTAGTAGTATTGTTATTATTGTTATTATTATTATTGTCATTATTATTATTATATTATTATTATTATTATTATTATTGTTATTATTATTATTATTATTATTGTCATTAATACATTTTAAGTAACCTTTATCACGTGGAGCGGAGACTGCTCTGAGCATCCGCCCCAAAGCCCTTTTTGAGCCGGGCGGGCTAACGGGATGCGCTTTTGTGGCCACGGTGCCGGTCGGTCCTGATAAGCTATCGACACGGCGTGATAAGTCGCTGGTCGTGTGAGTGTTTTGGCAGAGCGAAAGGAAAGGTATGTTTCGGGTTTTCGGTTAGTTGTGGAGGGAAAGGGAGTGAGAATGAAGGAAAGGGAGGGGAGAGGACGGGGGAAGTGATGAGGAGGAAGGAGAAATGTGGAGAGAAGAGGAGGAAGGAACGAGGAAAAGGAGGATGAAGGAGGAGGGGAAAGTCTTGGGAGGTAAGAAGAAAAAAGAGGGGGTTATGGGAAAGAAGAGGAAGGAGAGAGAGGGAACGCGGTTGAAAGAGAGAGGAAGAAAGGTTAGATAAGGAAAGGAGGAGGAGGAGGAGGAGGAGGAATGAATGTCAAAGGGTCGTTCCAAGGATGGCGGGGTTAATCCTCATCACTAGTCTGGAGATGCCGCAGGTGCTCAGGCAGCAAAGGGCCGGCGCGCGGTTGCATGTCAAGAGGAGAGGCGCCAGAGATGAAGACGATAATAGTGATGAGCATGGTGGTGAAAATGACGGTGGTGATGTCATCGGTCACGGATGGTTTTGATAGGATGTGTGGTAGTGATGATGACAATGATGAAGATGCTGGTGATGGTTGTGATGAGAACGAGGTGTTGGAAACATGATTATGACGTTGATGGTTGTGATGAGGACGGCGGTGGTGGTGATGAGGACGTCGGCGATGATGGCGATGGCGTGAAATCATCCCTGTGTCAAGTTTCCGGTAGACAATCAACGGTCCCACATCCCGCGCGATAAAGTGACGCCGTGCTTCGAGAGTGAGGGTGTGAGTGAAAGTTCTGGCGAGAGTGAGTGTGAGAATGAGGATGAGAATGAGTATGTTCGAGTGGGAGAGCGAGGAAGTTGGTGAATAAGTGAGTGAGGGTAGGAGAGAGAATGGGCAAGATATGTAGGCCTATGCGACGGTGCGTTTCTTCTTTTCCAATGTGGTAATCGTAATTTATTGATAATTGGTCAGGGGCAACAAAATATTACAGCAAACTACGTCACAGCTGTGATGACTCGTAACGCACATGACCGAGATCGTGATTCAGTATTATCTTTTTTGTTTTTTTGTTTTTGTTTTTATAAGGGTTTAGACTCTGCGTTAGGGCACAAATGTAAACAAATGTAAACAACCGGCAACCCAAAACTGTCGTGTATACTTATGTACCCACATGTAAGGAGAGGGAGAGGGAAAGAGAGATTAGGGGAGGAGAAGTGTGAGAGTAAGTTTATCAAAAAAGGGCTGGAGAACTAAGAAATTAAGCTGAAGTCTTTTGTAGGTAGTAGGGAGAGTAAGGAGAAGGAGAAGGAAGAGAAAGAGGAGGAGGAGGAGGTGGTGGTGAGGAGAAGAATGAGATGGGGAGGAAGAGGAGGATATGGAGGAAGAAAATGAGAGGGAGGGAAACAGGAAGAAGGAGAGTAATAGATACAGAGGGAACGTGTGGGGAAGAAGAGACAAATGGAGAGCTCCCAAAAATTCTTTGTGTATGCAGAGTAATAGGTTAAAATATACAGGAAGAGGAACAGAAAACAACAGAAAGAAAGTGGAAGGTCGAAAAATGAAATGTTAGAGAAACGTATAAGAATAAAGAATGATAAAGCAAATCAACAAAAAAAGAAAATGTACAGGAATAGAATGTCTGAAAATGAGCGAGGAAAAGATAAAAACAAGTAAGAGGAAGAAAAAAAAGTGCTCACTA